GCGTAGTAGGTCTGGTGTGACTTCCATGATCGTCTGACATTGATCGTCAATATTGCAGGATTAATTTCTTTAGTGCGGTTATTTGCCCAAAATTATTTTCAAAACATAACGACAAATCCTTGTCCTTATAATAAATCTAAATTTTGGGCCATAACATTGAATTATATGCGTTTTATTGTTTCTTTTAAAACCACAGGCAAAAACACATCATTTGATTGAAAAAGGTCTCATTTGAAGTAGCGAAATTGGAAAGAACTTTACCTTAAAGCAATTGAAAAAGGCATCAATTGCCTTGTAATGCTGTAGAGCAGTCATTGGCAAAAATTTGGCTCCCCCACCTAAGTTGTCGTCTGGCTCTACGAGAACATAGTCAAGAACATTATATTCTATCGAGTCTTCTTGTGGTGGAGGGCTGTAGAAAACCCCACACTTGCAAACAAACTCGAGAGTGTGCAATGAGTGGCTCTCACCAGCATGTATGGTGCACTAGGATTCACTCGAACCATGGCACTTAACGCCATCTTGCACATATTCCCCGTAAACATCGTCGGAAGGTGTATTACTGCGAAATTGCTATCAGATTCAGAGAGTCTGGGTTCCTAAAAGAATATGTGTGCAAACATTCATAAATCCACACTCGCTTTGATTTCATACCGGATCATTTGAATCATGGAGCCGCCAAACGGAATTCTGCCGGCTCCTACTCTGCCCAAGTACCAATGACTTTCTGGCAGTGTCTTCCAGGCCGAGCTTGCAGCTATGAGAGTAGCAGTAGATGTACTACTCTGGAGTGCAGCCTCCTTCAGGGAAGTGACCATCCACTCAAATATCAGAGTTGCGCTACTAGCCTTGAAGTCATTAACAGTGCGCCTTGCGATATGCAAAAGAAAGTAGCTCTGCACTTCAGAGACCAACAGAGAAGTTGTTTATTTTTTAGTTTTCAAATAAATTGTGCTTATAATTTGCTACTTTGTTATTAAAACTAATTTGCATATTCACAAAATTCCTTATACCAATAATAAACTCCAGTTTAATCCCAACTCATGCAGCTAAACGCTAGCCAGCGGGTCGTCATGCCGTATGAGTAACCTCCATTTAATTACTGCAATGCTATTCCTTTACACATCTCGCAGCTAATTAATTTCAATTTTAATTTTTGCAAAACACACTCGACGCTCATTTGCAAGTGCCGGAGCGTAGCGGAGCGTGGCATAGCGTATTAAACATAATTAATATGCAAAGCAGGTGTGCTGCTAACGCACTAACACAAACACCGGAGTATAAATTGTGTTATGGCTGTATATTTGTGCATACGCGCCGCTATGTGCGTGCGTTTATGTGTGTGTGTGTGTGTAGGTGTTGAAGAAGCATTTAAGCATTTCTCATTTTTATGCGCATACGCACTTCAATCAATCAACAGCCAAATTAAGGCCAAAGCTAATGTGCATGCCTTAATTAAATTATGCTGAAAGTATAACAACAACAACAAAAATTTAAATATAATAGAAATAGCAATTACGAATTTGTGCATACAAAGTAGCAAGAAATCAATTGGCGAGCGCGAGATGATGTGCATGTGTGTGTATGTAATTAATTTCAATTACGCAGCTTATAACAGTTATTGGTATTGTGCATAAATTTTTATGCCCCACATGTACCTACACATGCGCGCACATAAAGTGTTTACGTGTGCGCTGACAAATTGTGGTTTTGCATTTAATTCAATTTATTTTTGTTTTGCCGGTCAATTGCCTCACACAATATTTAACACATATTTCTGGGTGTATAATTTAGTTGCATTGCTAGGCTCTATAGTATTGTGTGTGTGTATGTGTGGGTGCTTGTGATGTAAATTTGCCCGCTTAAAATTTTCGCGAAACTAATTCAGGCGCGTTGACATTTGTGGTGCATTTGACAATTAGCCGCTGCGTGACCAGCTGGCCTTTCACACACACCCACACACACCCACACGCACAAGCATCTATGCATGCCCACACATCAATATACACGTACACACATTTGCGCCCTTTGTTTACACACTAACGGTTAAGCGATTTTCAAATATTAGCATTGCTGATTGCTGCCGCCTGAATTGGTAAAGCCGCCAGCGGGTTCATTGCGGCCGAACAATATAAATGTCAATAAATTAAGCAAATTTGTCAAAGAATTTGCAAAAATTAATAATCATCAGCAAGTAGGCGCTTTGTACTAATTAGCTGCTAAAATATATATTTTATTGCATTCTATTATTCAACATGTTGTTGTTTTTTGTTGTCATCTTTTTTGCATATTTCGCTCGCCATTGCAGCGCGATTAATTTTCGCATTAAATATTAGACATATTTATTGTAGTTTTCATACGAATTTATTGCTAAGCTAACATTTGACACGACTAATTATGAGCAAATGCAAAGCGGTAAAAATAATTGCAAAATTTGTTTTTAATAAAAGCTGTTTGGATGTGAAAAGTCGATTTAAGCGGGCATTATTACGCAATACGGAGCGACAGTGAAAGAGTAAAATAGTTACACGTAATTAATTGTAAATGTCAATTAATTCATCAATAATGAATAATTGACTAATTTTTAAAATTAAATTAATTAAATAATTAATAAAAATGATAAGTTATATCAACAATGATAAAACAACTATTCCTAATATCAATAATTTATAAAATAATTAATTTAATTAAAAAATTAATACAATTTAT